AGTGAAACCGATAACTAGTGAATCACGTAGTTTTCCACTGTTAGACTTTCTAAAGGATGTGGCATCTTTTTCGATCTCTGACCACCGGTCACTCTGAAAAGACGTGTCCTTAGATTGCTGCAAGTAATAAAATTAATTATTTATTAATGATTTTGAGCCTCTTCTCCTGGCTCTTGCTTAAGGGCAAACAGAGGCTTAAGATCGTAGTTAAAATTGCCTAATCTTCTCCAACATTCTTGGTTGAGAAGCCTTACGCAGAGACTGGTTCATTAGGTGCAAATTTTGGGTAATTTATTCCATGTAATTTCGTACAAGGCAGTGTAGGTTTTTGATTCCATGGATAGCTATTCCATTGTAGCATGATGATAGTACAATGTGCGGTATCTTAAGAATAATGACCAGAACCTAACGGGGTGATGTTAAAAGATTCGATCCGGGGGGAAGGAATGACAGTGACGTGGTGGGTTGGTAATTTTTTGAGCACTTTAGAAGTTCGATTTTCAGATCCCATTCTCCACGTCAGTTTTCTCTTATTGGCTGCTAATTTCCTTGAGCAAAGAATTCACCCTGCTGCACTTCTGTACTACCAGTCGAAAAACAGGTGGTAGGTGGTTGATCTGCGAATTATAGGACAGCTTGGTGTTTTAAGGCGTTCTTGCGAAAACTTGCAAGATTTATGACGATTCTGTCTGCCGCATGCACCTTGACCCATATGATAACTGACTACAAAACGCCCATTACGTGTTCACTGAAGCTGGTCATAGAACGGGGCAGCATACCGAAGAGGGTTTCTAACGAAACAGCGGTTATGGTGGAGTGTACTGACGTACCCTTTGAATGGCTTTAAGGGAAATCTAACAGTAAATAAGTCTCAAATGGAAAGATTAAGAGCCTTCCCTTTTATCTACTGATCCATGAAGAAAACAGTGAAATCGAGTCGTCATGTCTAAATCGTTTTAATGGAAGGAAAAGATTTGATTAAACCTTGAAGTTATTACGTGCTAAATGGAAGGCACCCTGAAATGTAAAATTGCTTCGCTCGATTAGCGAAGGGCAGTGATCGCTGAATAGCTGCAAATACTGTTTATGGTGGAGGGAGGAGGGTACTGGGGATGGGGACTGTTTAAGCAGGTCAAGGCTTCATGATATTTGGACACTTGTAGTACCCAGTGCATTTCGCATCATTCTGACCATTTGAATTATCTCGCGCTCATCACGAAAGAAATCTGAATATCTGGTCTTAGATGAGCCGTTCTTTATTTGACATAGTCGGGCGTAGAACAAATTATCATGTTTATGCGATAGCATCTGAGGAGTACAAGTTCCTCAGACATTGGTCGTGATGAGTGATCAAAATGATGCGAAATGCATCTGACAACGCAGGTTCTCAGATACCATGGAGCCTTGACTTGCTTTAGACAAGACTAATCAGTAGGTCGAGGAAGTGCGCAAAACGATGCAAGAAGTATATCTCTGAACTGATGATCTGTGTGTCTGTTATGAATGACAATTTTTTACCCCTCTTTGATGCAGGAAAGGTCCAATTCGAGCACCAAACTTTCTGCGGCAGTCTGTACGATGGGATTATCAACCGGATATCTGCAAGGATTATAAAGAAACAGGGTTCTGCGGTTTTGGAGGTGAGTTTCTCAGTGTGCTCCTTTACTATTGCACTGTGGTAGGTGCATATTTGATCTGTTAAGGAATATTTGATTGTAATATTTTTTTATTGTATCAAACAATATACTTAATGCAAGTGCAGAAATATTAAACAATATCTTTAGCTGCTTAAACACCAAATTCGTAATTTTAGATTGTTTCTAATGCAAAAATATGTAATGGAATATAAATTATAAGGCTGTTCGCAAATACGCGTTGGTTTTAATTAGAATCATCTGTCCGTATTTTAACCGATCAAATATCACTCTTCGACAGGTCAAGCATGATTAGCAAAACTGTACAGACTTCGACTTGATAAAGAATCGTCCTTTAGTCAGTCGAAATATTGACATCTGTTTAGTGGTTGAAAGTAATTTCTTGAATAGTACGGGAGGTCCAATTTAAGTTTACTTCAATGATGGTGGATTCTTTGAAGATAATTAATTACATTTGAATATATAAGGTTGACACTTTTAGATGCAGAACTTCAAACATTTTGGTTTATATTTGATGAATCTTCTTCGGGGTGCTGTGCATTTATGATTTCTTGTTTCGTTTGTACATGTTGATTGAGTAGACCACTGAACAAAGCTGAAAAGAATCTGAGTGTGCATGCTAAAATAGGTTGGTTGCGATTAAACCATTTTAGATTAAAGTTTTTTTGCACTGAGTTATGATGCAATCGTTTTTTTGTTTAACCATTGTTGTTTAATTCTACTTTTATTTCTCCACTTGGAAGGAGAATTTTTTTATTTGCTGCTTGTAGTAGCAGCGTCAACGTCTAAAGAGTTTTGTGACGGCTTCCTGGGTACTCTAATATGATTGCTGTAAGAAAGTATAAAACCGAATGTGGGTACGCGTCGTCGAGTGTGGCACTACAGTTGATGCCTTTAAGCTTTGTTAACAGTTCATTTTGAAACTTTTGCTACGGAATCGATGCCTAGAACAAACTAACTATTGTCAGGTATAAAAATTTAACACCTCTGCATCTTTATAGTGTTAAATTTTGTGTTTTCAGATTTTACAGTAACCAATGTTTATTTTTTAGATTCTTGCAAGTTTCTTCACGACCGATCTGACTACAAACACGGGTGGGAGCTGGAGCGAGACTGGCAGCTGGGCAGGTATGGCAAGGATGATGAAGGTGCTGTCTTTGATTTTACTTCGTCGCCTGTCTTTTCATTTTAACTTTTGCTTGTCTTCAGATATTCATGCGTATGAAATTCACTCTGATGATGAAGACGTTCCATTCAGGTGCCTTATCTGTCGCGAATCATTTGTGAATCCGGTAATAACGAAGTAAATATGACTTTCTTCAGTGCATTTCGTTGACTTGCTAAAGCGTTTTTTCTGTAGATGTAAACATTACTTTTGTGAATCATGTGCATTAAAGCACTATCGAGAATCGAGCAAATGTTTCATTTGTAACAAAAATACTTTTGGCATCTTCGTTCCTGCGAAAGGTCAGTATTCATTTTCCCATTAATATTAATTTGTTCTCTATTTGTCTTTTGGCTTATTATTTATTGCTTATAATAGCGTATGCCGTGAACATTGTGAAACGGTTGGTTTCCATCTTAGCAAGAATTTCTGCTCCTTTGACTTTTGCTAATCGGTATCATAGACCTTGTGGAGATTTGCTTCTTTCAGCTTCGTTCGTAAATAGTGTGAACATGCTGGTTTTATTTTAGATATAACTGACAAGCTCAATGCTGAATGCCGCGCAGCGAATGACTCCGGTGGCCTTTCTTCTAATTCAGAAGCTGAAGAGGAAGTTGGCGAACTACCCGTCATAACTTCTTTGGACGCGGAGACCGGCGACGAATCTGCCGCAGTTGCCTCTCTTGACAGTACGAATGATGACGATTCTGTCGCTAAAGTCGACAACGCTGACTGCGGTTCTAAGGAGGATTCCAGAACTCAGGAGGATGTCTGATATTCAGAAACGATATTGCTGACTATAATCTCCTTCAGGACATGGTTTTTGATGGTTGTAAGCACGAACTGCTTGATTAACTTCTTTTCCTTTGAATTTCAGTTCACTGTAAGATTTGATGTTTCAGAGCGATATTTGTTCGAATGAAAATTTCGCTGTACGTTCTCCCATGTTTTGACTTTGCTTATGAATTAATTACCGAATAGCTTATCTCAGAAACAACATTAACAACGAGCAAGTGTATTACAAGAAATTTTTCGGTTTGTAGAACGTTGGACTAACAGTTGAAAGGTCCCGAGCTCAGACTAGTTAAATGAGTACTATCACGTGGTAGAATGAACACAGTCGTGATCATCTGATTATAGGTAGCTTTTCAAATATCAATCAGTGCTTATGGCTAAGGTAATAAATGTACAGTGAATTGAGATCAGTACAACAACACTAGCTCCACGACAAGAATACAAAAAATGCCGTGGAATCGTTAAATGTAATTGAGGCTGACATCCTAATTGTTGCACACTTCCTTTTTTTCATATACCAAGCAAGCGATGGTGGGTGCATCAATGCAGGACAGTCTCGAAAATGTCACTGGCACTTGTATACTTATGCAGTTTCTTGGATGTTTGTGATCAAGAGCTGAAATCTGGTCTTTAAAAGGTCATGGGGCTTTCCCATACGATTTGTTTATGCGGCTGCATATACGGATTGCCAGTTCCTGAAACATCTTTCGTAATGAGCGCTTGTAGCTTTAGATGATAAAATCATGTGACATTCATCTAACGCAGCTGGTACTCCAATACCTGGGATCTGCGACAAGCTTTAGGCTCTCCCATAAGCAACTAAGAGCAAGGGAATGGCGCAATATGCTTTGAAATCTTGCCTTGAAGAAATAATTCGCTCTTGTGGTTATTTGATTTACTCAGGCGTACGAACAGCTTATGATGAATGTATGATTATTAATCAAAAAGCGCTGCGTGAAGGTTGATCGATGATGACAGTTTCATACATGCAAAACCATATTTCCATATAAATGAAGGAATGTTCAATGAAATCAAGCAGCATCGACGGCTGAAGCCATGTCAGCAAATGTACGACTAATTGTCTCGATTTATTAGATTCTTCTTGAAAGAGTTTAAAGCGATCCAAGGTGGCAAATTGCCTCCGACACAATCCATATGGGTTTTTCTAATCCTTGGTAAAAATGGCATATGACTGAGACAGCGAAAACCAGTCAAGTGTGAAACTGGCGGAAAGTGATCATCCACAAGCAATCGTTCATCATTTGGAATTAACAAGAGGCAGTTTTTCGGGTTGACGTTTTCCTGCTTCCTCAGTCGAGCAGTCGTAATAATTCCGACGACCGAAACCGCCTGGACTTATCGAAAATCTTCTTATCTCTGAAACGTTATGAATGGTTGACAATGTAATGTAAAATTTTGGAAGTATATGAATATTAAATATGATTGAGCGCCATTAGTTTTGTTCTTTCTAGCGAATTTTATGATCAAGGCGTTCTTTCTTTAACAAATTTACTACGTAATAAATGTAATTTTTTGTACTGTACTGTTAGCTAGTCGTTTCGCATCAGAGAAGGGAATGCGAAGGTACTGCTGATGATATGCTGAATGCATTTTACCATATTTTGTCAAGAAATTCAAAAGTAGTTCTAACCATTATCCGCTCTGGAATACTTTACATTTTGTTAAATGATATGCATAATTGTAATATGTAGTTCACCAACTTATAAGTTAGAGTTTGTGTGCAACCCCATATTGGTAAAACTTAACTTGCAAACCATTATTACGGTATATAGCACTTCCGCTTTAGCACTGTTTTTTTTTCTATTTTTTGTAATTTCGAACTGTGTCATATGTAGTTTTGTTCTATATACAGTTTGTTTGCCCTGAACAATGGAGCGGTATATTTTCTATGTTAGGAACAACTGTAGAGATGCAAAGATTAATCTGAATATAGTTGGTATTAAGTTTTAAATTGATCTATTATTTTTTTTCGATCCGGGTTGAGCAGTCGAATTTCGCTGTGACTCATCCATGTGCCGCTTTACAGCACCATCTGTTCATCATTAATGTTGTGATCTTGTTCATGTTCCATTTCCGAAGCTGCGTATAGCAATTGGTGTCATTTTGCCGTCGTACTACTTTTATGTCAGCATTTTATTCGCAAATTTCGGCATTTGCTTATGATTGAATCTGAAATATTCGTATCATAGTCTTTTCTTCGCTCGTACACGGTTGAACAACAACATTTGCTAATTGGTTGCCATTCAGTATGTATGTCCAGCAAGGAAATCATGTCTGTAGTTGTAGGCATGGCTGCATGGATGCATTGGATGTAAATGAAGGTTTCTTTTGAAGCTCCATTTCAGTGCATTTTGTGACAGTGTGTAAAGTTGTTTAAGGAGGTGTGCTACAGCTTCCATTTGATAATTTTTCTTTCACTTGTGAAGTAGATGCCTGTGACAGCGACAGTTTTGTACATGATTTTCAAGGAAAGAAAGAATCAAGTCTGAGTTGTACCTTGCGCTGATTAGTACGCTCGAACTTGTCACCTTTCAGGGTCAGGGCAAAGTGCAGCCACAAATTGCGCTCCAGTCAAAAAGTACATCTTGTCCATTTCGGTACGACAACCCCGGAATATCATCCTGTCCCTGTTATTCGCAAAACTAAGATTTGCTTTTCGTTTTTCGGCTTGTTGACTAAAATAACATGAGGTAGATTTTTTGCTTTAAGGGAATTCATGATTAGGAAAAAAGAATCGTCCACTCCGTGCATTCCAGCACTGCACCGCCGCATTCAAATCCAACTTCTTTGCTGCTGCTACCATCGCGCTCTCTATCCTTATTGTTTGCCTGAGGATGGGTTGAGGTAGTTTCAGTGAAAAGACAATGCTTATGGTATATACAAGCAACTCTCGGTT